TGTTTCAGATCTGATATGCACAGTTGCACACTCTGGTTTATGTACTCTTGTTATCATCAAGAGTAGATAAACTGTTTATCTACTCTTGTTATCATTCATAGTAGGGAATGAATTTTTGCTCGTACTTGGGTGGATGCAAATTTGCGAGCTCCTGACCTTTGCCCTCTTTTTCGGTTTCCCGGGGCACTAGGCCCTTGGAACACCAGTAAATAGTGATATAAATTATAATGGCCGGGAAACTCGACCCCAATACGGACATCGCGGTGCTTACTGATGACGAGCTCAAGGAGCTCATCCAGCGACTGGGACTGGAGTTCCCCAGAAAGGCGAACAGGCCAATGCTGATTGCCCTACTGAGAGGATCCAAGGACTCGGCTCCCGTAAGTCATGCTAACCCTGATGTAGCTAGCCTTTGCGCCGCACTCTCCGAACTTACCGGGGTAGCAAGGGAATTGAAATCAGAGCTAAAGACGATGAAAGATGTGAATGTACAGCTGAGAGATTCCGACAGGGAAATTCAGGCGTTGAAGGACGACGTGCAAAAGCTCCGACGTGAACTGCATGCTGAAAAAGATCACCAATCCCGTTTGACCCACGTCCACGCTGACCCTGGGGATACAACTCATCTCAGAACTACTACAAGTAGTACTCTCCCCATGCACTTTAGTATGAGTACCGACGCTACCCCAGACCTGTCAACATCACCACGTGCACCGGTACAAACACAAGGCCCAGCTGCACAGCTAGAAAATTCGTACGCAGACTCCGCAAGGCAGCCACCAAGGCCGCATGCACCTGGCCACGACAAACGTCCGCAAAAGCCAAACCACCGTAGGGAGGAGACATCGCGGTACACAGCACCGAAAACACCCAAGAGTGCACCTGGACTCGTAGGACGACCCCGTGTGACGGTGTACTACATTGGAAATGTTGACCCGGACTGCGATGCGGATTCAATAGCTGAACACTGCAAGGCACAAGGTGTATCTGTAGTACCAAGAGTACATAACCAAGAGTGTGCAACTGCCTGCACAACCTCTATGCTGTGCTGCGACGGCAGAACTTCACATCACGTGACATGGTTCAAAAGGTTATGCTGGCAAACAGTGCAAAGTGACCACAAGAGAGTTGTACCCAAAGCTGGGCTGCGTACAACCCAGTATCTATCATGCACTAGAGTGCACGGGTTCATCACGTGATGTGAAGTTCTGCCGTCGCAGACCCCATAGCTGGAGTTGCACACTCTTGGGTTATGTACTCTTGGTAGTACAAAGCGTCGTGTACACCTCCGTGCACTTTAGAACAGCCTCTGCTCGTATTACAGTCTTGGTCACGGACGCCAAGAAGGTCGCGGAAGAATCGTTCTGGCCTGACGAAGTTGGCCGTACTGTAAGAGAGTGGCGATTTGGTACAGAGGCCTGGGCCACCAAACCCGTTAAAGCATAATAATGGCTCACACCACCGACCCACTCCCCTTGAACCCGCATGCTCAACACACCAATCGGATCAGCAAGAAGCTTAATCCACACGCCGCTCCGTTTCACCCACACACCCACCACCTGACCCAGCACAGTAGCACACTTAACATTGGCCACATCAACGCCACAACCGCCTCAGTCTTTGACTGTGAATTCTCTGACCATCGCATCATCACAACCTCCGTGCCTATCACTTCCCTGCAGCCTGACACGCCAGACCACAAGCCAAGGCAGCCCAGTCGAGACTATAGTTCGTTCTGTATGCAGGAATTCCACAAGTTGCTGAAATCGGTATCCCTACACTCTTTTTCATCCACGAACCCCCACCAAATGGCCGCTGAGTGGGTGAAGAAGTTCAACTGTGCACTGGATGAACTCGCGCCAATTGTCTCACGAAGAGCGGGGAGGCCTACCTCTAAAGTAAGATGCCCTTTCATGACTGAGGAGCTCCTGCACATGATACGACAACGCAAAAGTGCCTTCCGCCGATTAAAAGCCTCAGCTTTCCAAGATCCAGTTACTGCACTCCAATTCAGGCAACTGCGCACCCGATCCAACAACCTGTATCGCCAGCTCCGCAACAAATATTTTTCGGAGCTCTGTCAAGACTATGAACAATCTCCTCGGAAGTTCTGGTCGGCGATCAATGGCGTAACAAAACGTAAACCCGCTAAACCCAAAACCTCAGTCGAAGCAGAGACGCTGAATAGATATTTCCATTCAATCGTTCACGACCCCGATGCCTCCTACAACGTACCGCTCGGGCCGGTCTCCTCCACCGATTTGGAGTCGTTCGCATCTGTCACCATTGCGGAAGTAGAACTTCTTCTACTAGACCTGAAGCCCCGCAAAGCCCCGGGTCCAGACAATATACTGCCCTATCTTGTGAAGTCTGCCGCTTACATTCTTGCCCCATCTCTAGCAATCCTGTTTAATGCCTCCTTTTCTTCTGGTATACTCCCGTCCACGTTCAAAGAAGCGAACATTTGCCCAGTGTTAAAGTCCCAACGCAGTGACAGATCAGACCCGTCCCAGTACCGACCCATATCCCTTAGTAGTGTCATTGCCAAAGCCCTGGAGAAAGTCGTTCTTAGACAGCTCCAGCAGCTATTTGACGACAAGTGCCCATACCATAAAGACCAGTATGGCTTCCGCCGCCATCACTCTACTGCCCAACTCGTCACCAAGGCTGTAAGCCAGTGGACTGCGAGCCGGGATACTGGACACACTACCATGATTGTGTTTTTAGACCTAAGTAAGGCATTCGATCGGGTGAACCACCAGTGCCTCCTCATTTCACTGCAAGCCAAGGGTATTGGAGGGACAGCACTAGCATGGTTCGCCTCGTACCTGTATGATCGTCGGCAGAAAGTCACTCTGCCACATGCTACATCCAGAGTCCTCCCAGTTTCGCGTGGAGTCCCGCAAGGTACTGTTCTGGGTCCTGTACTCTTTAATGTCTATATAAGCCACCTCCCTACCATAGCGGATTCCTTCACCTGTTCCCTTCCCATGTTCGCAGATGATATGACCCTCTACCGAAGTGCCCCCTCACTCAAACTGTGTATTGCCTCCGTCATTCCCTGCTTGAATGTACTATGTGACGAGCTACAAAAGCTCCACATGATGATCAATGTTAAAAAGTCAGGTGTTATGATCATTTCCCCCGGCCGAAACCCCACGACGCACCCAAGTGTCATTAGCCTTCAAGGTGAGCCACTTAATTTTGTGACCGAAACTCGTCTCCTTGGTATCCAAGTTGACAACTGCCTGTCATGGACCAAGCATATCGATGTAATTGTTAGAAAAGTATCCCAGAAGGTGGGTGTCTTACGTCGCACCTTCCGGCAACTGAGCAAACTTGCACGCCGCCAGTACATCCTGTCTGTCGTTCTTCCTGACATTCTGTACTGCATCTGTTCCTTCGTCACACTCATTACTGCGAAGGATCACAATCGTCTAGTAAGCGTGTACAATAGAGCTATCCGAGCGGCTTGTGGGGCTTCGAGCCGGGACAGTATTTCTGGTCTTCTGAAAAACCTTGATGTTAAGCCCCTGGACTACTATTTCCTGGTGTCAACTGGGAAGTTCATTTTCATTAATCATATTCTTCGCCCTTTGCCTGTATTTACATCGTTATTCCCAGCCCCGCAATCTACCCGGAGCACGCGTAATCGCGACACACATGATATCCCTTATTTAAAATGCAGAACAACACTCGGTCAAAAATCCTTTGTGCTTCGTGCTGCTCTTTTTTTTAATGCTCTACCTAATGACTTGAAATCCTCTTTGTTTACCTCCCAGTTCGATCGTGGTTTTAAGCGCTTATTGGATGATCCAGTTTGGTTTGAACGATATCGTGCAATTTTGTTTGACAACGTTGGCAACGTTTAGTCTCTCACCAGCTACATGTATGTATTGCCCAGGTTCATTCAGCATACGTTTTTCTTCTTTTCTCTTTATGTTCACCACTCATCCCCCTTTTTTTCTAAACATTTGAACATTTACACTGATGTATGAACATATACACTGATGTATATACATTGTTTATTTATTTATTTTTTTATATTTTTTTATATTTTTTTTGGTCCCATCGGCCTCTTCATATTTGTGCAGCTGCACTGTTGAGCTTCCGATGTAAAACAAAAATAATAATAATAATAATAATAGTACATGTGTAATGACTGCATGTACATGATTGTACAGTAGTGCTTGATGACATCATATCAAGGGCTAGGGAGCCACGTTTACACTGGGCAATGTGCAAACCTAAACTTGTGAACACTGGGCTGGGAAATTGTGCAGAGCGCAAACTACTTGCCTTTACTCGTTAGTATTTTATCACTAACTCGCCTCTGCAGTCGAGTATTGCCAATTTGGGAACTTAGAGCCCAAGAACATACATGTACATGTACATGTACATGTTTCATCAAGAGTATAACTCTCCAAGAGTGTGCAACTCTGCATATGGGGTCTGCGACGGCGAAAACTCACATCACGTGTGACGGTGTCTCAGGTACATGTACATGTATGTTTCGTACTACATACATACATACATGTACATTATTTCGTATAAGCGAAGTATAACGTGCGCTCAATTCGAAAATCTGCCATGATCATCCTGGGGATTTGCAATTTTGCAATTTGCATACATGTACATGTACGTGCAGTGAGTTTCTGTCTAAGAGTGCTTTTTTTATTACTCCGCTTCTCGCTAAAAACGGGCTGGAAACGTACAACTGCGACACTACACCACGCGATGTGAGTTTTCGCCGTCGGTGAACCCCATAGAAAGGATATCAGGAGTTGCACGCTCTTGGGGGCTTATACTCTTGGTGTCATGTACATGATGTACGTATAATTATATTGGCTCGATCTGACATTTTTTTGTATTTAGGCCATCATTTTTTATAGCTACCAGGGAGTCGTATAGACCCGGGAGGCGACACGAGGCCTTCCGGGCCGACTATGATTGACTCGCGGCACTTTCTCCCACCTTTCCCTCAGATATCCCCGGTGCGTGCCCTGAGTTATAAACCAACTACTCCGCGTACTTATGCCATGGGAGTGCACTCCATGGCATGGGGAACGGACTCGTGCAGGATCGATAGGATCGTGGGAAATCGTACCTCGAAAAGAAGAAGAAGAATGAACTACTTTTCCAAGTAATTAGTTGCATTTGATGATCGTGATGGAGGCAGAGAGTGCTGCTGATCGCGATCCAGATCCGGGTCAAGAATCACCTCCTGATCCTAAGGAAACCTCAGCTGACGTAGATCTACGTTCTCTTCGCGTGAACGCTCAGTCTGTGTTGGCTTGGGCCACAGGTATGGTTTGAATTCTAATTTTCTATGTGATTATATTTTTCAATGTTACTTTCAACCTTGCTACTTAGCGGCTTCTGAACTGGTGCGTGTACTGCATAAAAAGTTGCGAATAATCATGAATTGGAAGAAATACTTGTGGGTTGATAGAGTGCAGTACTTGTTCAATGGTTTCTACAGAGCGTTCCGAATCCCAGCCGCTAAAGACCCACAGAAGGCAAGAAGCTTGCGTTGCAAAGCTGCTGTCCCGCCTGACTGCGGAGAAAGAAGACTCGTTTATGGTTGTTCTACAGCCGCTGCTGACGTCCATCACTTCAGCTCTGTCCTGCTCCCAGCAGCAGATAAGCTTGGATTTCATTGAGTCGTGTCCCAACTCCGGTGTGAACGATTTCCCGACGTCAAGACGAAGTGGGGTCAAGTTATGGGTGTTGCAAGGAAGCTGTCACAAGATGATCCAGTATTGAACGGTAGGTTTTGTAAAGCTGCTCTAACATTTGGATACTATAAATTATAACATTAAATTATGATTTGTATTCACGAAGCCATGCCCAAGACGTGCTACATAGCGTGCGTGTGTATATTGTGTGCATGTGTGCGCGCTTGTGTATGTCGTAAAATCCCGCCAAAGCCCCCCTACCTCCGCAACCATTCGAGTAGATCCATTTGGGGAGGGGCGGATGGGCGAGTCCTGCTTGCCGCATTCAGTACTACATAAAAAAGTACTCACCCTACGAAAACTGTGCGTGCGTCTCGTACACCCAACAAAAGTCAAGAGCTGGGAGTCGTACAAACCCATCAAAACCCTAGGGTGTGTGCGATCTCTGGTCAAGAGGGTGGGAACTGTTGCGTACATTTCCAACCAGGTCGAGGACGCGTCTGCAGTACAGTACGACCTCACACTTCACATAGTCATACGAGGATACAACTCTATTGATTGATAAGATAACGTGCTTGTAGATCTCTGCCATGCCAAAGTTGCATTCAGTAGAGGTAGTAGTCTCTGTCAAACGTGTTTGCCATTGGCTCACGGCACTTGTAGCAGCTGATCGGACGATGCAAATGGACTCCCAGTCCACATTAGCTGGTTCTTGAGATGCTTTCGAAAATATACCATGGCACGCACTTTCCACTGTTGTTACATAGGGCCGGAAGTGTGTTGTCCTGAGCTTGCCACGATACTTTCCGATCTGTCCATCTCCTCTCTTTGTTAAGTTGGAATTATTTGAAGAGCTGATGGCTGGTAACTTGCTGGTCAGCTGGTAGGAATAAGTTTGCAAGTGTTGCTGCTGATTTGTACATTGAATTGCCGGAGTGACGTGGCCTTGAGTAGTCTTCCCCAGCAATGAACTGAAGAGTAGCATGCGTATTGAATTCTCTTGTTGCCGGTTCATCGGTCCCTCTCCATGACACCGGACTAGACTGAATTACTGGCGTCCCTTCATCGGCCTGCTTTTCGCCTCGAACTTCACGAGTCTTGAAATCTGGACCCAACATAATAAAAGTGGGACTCAATTGCGCAGTTCAGACGATAAATTGATGCAATATGGGGTCATCGCAAAAGTGTTTAGTCATCCCTGAAAAAAACATTCATTTCGTACTCGGACCCCCTCTCCACCCTCCGAAATGAATGGACGACGAAAATCGCATGCATGTACATGTGTATGCATAGCGTCAGTCGACTGAGATTTTAGCTCCCCCCGGAACGATCTTCGCTTCAGGGACGACCAAATACTTATGTGACCACTGACTTTCTTTCTCTGTTATCAAGCAGTATGCATTATTTGCAACAGTAATTACTTGTCTGTGTCATTTGCATGCATTGTCTTATTTCCTTTTTCAGGCTACAGCACAACCGAGAGAACGAAATGTACGTCGCAATCAAGCTATGTCGTTGCCATCTTCTATGTGCCATGCGTTACCTGATGTGCCAGCCTGCTATGTCGGATACCGCTAACCATGCATCGACTAGGCGCCAGGCGCGAACTGATGGTGGTGGTAGTGATGAGAAGGAGAGCTCTGTGCCAGAATAAATTTGCAGTTTAGAGAGCGTGTCTGGGCAGGTGTGTATTTACCGCCATATTGCCAGGTGTGTATTTACCACCGTATGAATCAACCATGCGCTACCTGATGTACCAGCATGCTATATCGGACACCACTCACCCTGCATCGACTAGGCGCCAGATGCGAACTGATGATGGTGGTGCCGGTGGGAAGGAGAGCTCTGTGCCAGAATAACTTTTCAGTTTAGAGAGCGCGTGTGGACAGGTGTGTATTTACCGCCGTATGAATCCACCACAGTACGATCAGCTGACGTTATACCTTATAAGGATGATCTCGTGCAGCGATATGATGATATTTTTTCAGTCTTTTCTAAGGACTCTCCACTGCAGCGTTTTCTTTCCACTCAAATATGGAAAATGCGGAAGGTTGTTAGCACTGTGTTGAGGCAGCTATTGTTGACTTTATTCGGAATTAATTTTGTTGTATTTGCACACATTCCTGAGTGCATTGTATTAGCATCCAATGTGTGTTATCTGTGCGAGCTTCTAACCTTGTGAACATTCACCGAAGGTTTGGTTGGTGGCCCACGAGATCTTCCGGGATGGCTCTTGCGGGCTCTCAGCCCTGCGTTTACTGCATAAAACATGGCAGAACAGTTCAAGTTTCAATTATTTAGGCCATTTCCTCACTCTGACTCCCAATATTTTACATGTGTAATAATTATAAGTATTGTAGATCACTGGGACAGCGCCATTTTGTTAGCCAATGTTAGTCCTGAAGAAAAATTGACTTCATTGCCCTAAAGGTGAGAACAAATTGGGACTATTTGTGAAGGAAAACTTTGGAAAATGTAATTTCGAATGTAAGTCATTTCGTTTATCTGGATTCGTCCAATATTTCACAAATGTGCAATATGAGTATTGTAGATCACTGGGACAGGGCAACTTAGTCTGTCAAAGTTAGTCATGAGGAAAGAATTTACTTCATTGCCCTAAAGGTGAGAAAATATTGAGGCAATTTGTAAAGAAAGGATTACCTCATCTTAGGTGGTCAAAGTGCCTCAAAGTTCGAGTGGCAGTGCAAAGCCAGTGAGTACGCCAGTACAGTGAACAAGTGAACTCCTCAGCGATGGCCACAGATGGCTGTATTTCGGCAATGGAGATCGAAAGTCTGACCACAATTGTTCTCGAAAGGACGAAGACGACGATTTCTCGCTATACTATGTACGGATTTCCCGCGCGCTGTGACCTATGTACGGACTTGTCCCACACCGAGCAGGTCGCAATAATATTTTGAATCGTTGAGTCGATCATGGTTGTGCACAACTCCACAAGTGATGCGCGTGTCGCCTCCCGGGTCTATACGACTCCCTGATAGCTACCATGTATGTTTCGCGTCGTCCGCACGCATACGTTTTGATTTTTTTCAGAAAAAATAAAAAATCGAACATGCACAGTGAGTGTATGATCGTTCGAATGATCAGTGTGGGTTGCAGACGGCGAAGCTGGGATTCAGAAATGGCCTCTAGGCCATCGTTGGTAAATCGTTTGTTCGGCACCTGGGAGCAATATTCTATGAGCTTACACCAGACTGACCAGATCGCATTGATCGCCTCAAGCTGAGAGGACTCGTCGTTCCGGAGCTCTTTGCACCGCTGCTGAATTCTGAGTACAATAATCCAGCAAAGCATAGGCACCAACGGTTGCCTCCTCTGTCCAAAGTAAATATTTACTCATGCTGATAACCCAGATGTTGTGCTTCGATGTACGATTTTTCTTTCAAATGTACACCATGCACGAGCTACTTGTATTGTGCTATGTACAGTGCATACACTTCTAATGTCAGAGCCTTTTTATTATTTTGCAACATTTTTTATTTTTTCCACCTCTCGCATATGATTCTGGAAGTTGAACTGACGCGAAACATAGATATAAAAAATGATGGCCTTATGGATTCTCCATCTACTGTACTGCACACCCACATGCACATCCAGAGTTCAATATTAAAATATGGAACTCTGGAGGTCCCTTCCTTTCTTTTTCAAATTCTCCTCCACGCATACCCTGCCTATTTCTCACCATACACACGTCCTTAGATAAACACACGTCCATTTTGCGTCTGGGTTATCATTGTATATCACACAGTCCTGCCAAAACGTTCACATGCATGCACGCACGGATACCCACCTGCACCAGCCCTGCACACACTACAAAAGTGGTCGGAGTCACTCAGTCACTCTACTTCGTCCTGAATCTCTCAAATACATGTACTGCACCAGTTGCTGTAGCCATCAAAAGATACGGGTCAGAATAATGATCTCTTCAATACTACAATAGATGCCAGTACTAACTTCAGTAGCGGTTTTCGTGCACAGTACAAAGATTCTCTCTAGCAAGTTTCTCTTGGGTAGGCTCAAACATTTGGCCAATACCGTACATGTCCATTGTAGCTCTGCTGGATAGTTTGTCTCAGTGAAGGCCCACTCTTTAGACATTTTGTCATTGGACTGTCCGACAAGCATGACCTCGGAAAAACCAAGAGCTAGAGCCGAATTTTCGCATGGCATGATTTTTGAGATACGACTAGAGACTATGCTATTGTGATATTCACACAATAATAATAATATTCGCGGGATCCGCGTTAGCATCACTTGAATGTTCAGAAACACACAAGCTATAGCCTTCGCTTCCGCAGGCCACCACTATGCCTTTACACCTTAGTGGCGAATGCAGACCTCACAAGTGAGTCAGGGGAGAGGAGGTGAGTCTCTCAACCAATCGGGCGTGTAACGGCCCATAACCCTGTAAACTGCATCCTTGTTATCCTCACTCGAGCTGTGAGTACCCAGTTGACCGTGGGTTTCGGCGCAGTTCAACACGCGTAAAAAGTCTTTTTACACGCTCCCTGCTGCCAGCGCGGGTCTCGAACTCGGGACCTCATGATTCGCAGGCAGGCCTGCAAACCAATCGGCCATATGCGTTGGTCTATTCCCCCCATATTCACACAAGAACCCACAATGTACGCGGTATGTATGATGTACTGGTACTGACCCAGTTGTTTGCATTGGCCACATTTCCAAGTTCGGGTGGACTTGCCAGAGGAAACGCCGGCTGCTCCCGAAACTTCGTCTGCCGAAAAAGGCTGCCACCTTGTACCGGCGTGCAGGAATTCGCAGAGACACTTGCCTGCCACGTGTCTCTTCAGAACCTCCTGAAATCCAATCTAACAAAATTAATGAATAATGGCTGACAGGGTGCCTTTGCCGTGGAGAAGGCGAGGCAAAAATAAAAACAATCCGCGGCTATCTGGCGGGAAACACTGCTCAATGAAAGTTTTAGTTACCAAGATTTCAGTGTGCATCCTGCAAGCGTTGGACAAAGAAAACAACTGAGAGAAAGAAGCACCAGTGTGCAATAATTGTACTCCTTAGTCCAACGAGATCTTCCCTGTGAATTGCGGGCAGGATGCTGTGCAATGAAGTTAGTTAGCTAGCGCTGTTCACACGTGTGATTCTTCCACCATTGTGAGTGTGATCTTCGTGGTCTCACGCGGAATGATTTCCGCGCAACTAAAGTTTTATACTCGGCGCTCCATTCTCGGTCCATGACTGGCAAGAATGGAGCGCCAAGAAATTAGTTAGTTTCATGCCACCATGATAATTATTGAGATCATACTACTGGGTCTGTGCAATACCACCTGACAACTTTGTGTTGACACGTTGCCAGTGCAGTAGGGGCATACATCACACTGTGACTTGTACTTGTGAACAGCGCTCTCCTCTTAGCGCTCTCCTCTTAGCGCTCTCCTCTTTTGCCCTCCTCCTACGTAGTACTACTGACGTCGTGAAAGGTGAGGCCGCAATCATCGCGGCCCGGCAAGGTGCTGGCATGTGACACTATCGAGTGCATGTGTCCCGATCATAGTATCATCAATTTGCACATGCTCCAACCCCCGCTGTAGCCCAGCCTAGGTATAGCATTTTAATCAAGGTCTATCGCCTACCTGCCTTCGCAATGGATATACTTCCTTCCTCGTCTTTACTTAAATGAAGCACCCAAACCACGGCTGCCAGTAGCCACTGTTTCTCCCGGTTTATTGCACCCACTCTGATTGATAACACATAGTACAGTCTCTGTCTTATTGGCTACGGCCACCGTGAGAATAAAGATACTAATGTGTGACCGGGCCCTTAGTTAACAATCACCAATCTCGCGACGACGGCATAGTCTGACTCTGTACATGATTGTATAAGCCTGATTGATTGATTTTATTTTACTTCGCAAGCTCAAACGGGTTCCTGGCCCAGTTATGAAAGCGAAGGATAGAATTTGCTAAAATCCTAATGAGCAACAGCATAGGCAATATTATCATAGAAGTGGAGTACTATGCGAGCGAGAATACTGAGAAGAAAAGGAACATTATCAAAACCTGACGAAACACAACCTATTTCAGGCATACATAAGGAAGGCAGGCTAGCTTAAAATCTTGCAATCTGGATACGGTGCGCACCTCTCTAGGCAAACTGTTCCACAGCAATGCTCCTGCGGTGGCGAATCTCGTTTGGCCACACCGACTGCGAGCAGGCTGGCTGAGCAGTGGCATGCTGATGGCGCGTACTTCTGCCACTGCATGCTGCTGGTTTGAGAAGCTGGGCTAGAGCAAGGCTAGTGGTAGGGACTTCAGACCATTTTTTCAAATCGGTTTTCTGTGGCTTATGTTTTGCTTTTTGTATAGGTTAGAGCTTCCTGAGGAGTTTAGTCTTTAGTTTTTCTAAATCGGACAAAGGAAACTAAAGTTACAAGCAAAATAGTCATCGCCTATCACCGGATTTGTCCGACAAACGTCCCACACATTTGAGATCAGAGAGATACATGTATGTCAAACTGAGAGAACCCACTTTCCTTGGCAACGCATAGCAACCGCACACCAGATCCAAAAACAATCTTGATTCTCCGCATGAAATAGCGGAATAGTATGGTTTACAATGTAGTGGGTAGTAACAGGAGACATTGGTAATACAGTCCTGAGATAGCTTCGGACTGTTGGCGTGGTTGGTGTCAAGAAAAAGAATGATCACGGAAGAGGCACTGACTAAGCTCAACATGTACATGTACAGGACATTGTATTGGCTGGGGTAATCATAGCACGCACATCATCATCAGCAGAGACACAGCAAATAGCAAAAAGAGTATACAGCACATCTCCCAGTTCGGCACTCTTTCAGCTATTCTTGCGGAGCTCAACCAGATCGAGCATAACAGCATTGGAGACAAGAATCGAGGCATGGACCAAAACAGCCAAGAGCAATTCAATTTGTACATCAGCATCATTTAGCGCAGGATACTTCTCGCTGCTTTCCATACTGTGACTATGGCGGCGCTGCACGGCAAAGTACAAAGAGGAATAATGCAAGAAATAGGTCTTCTGGAAGGTGAAAACAATAAAGATTACCTTCGATCTAGACTAATTCGAGGTCGTAGAATACGAATATCACATTTTCAAGAAGGGGACCCGGACGGATCATATGGTTTCTCACCTTTCCCTTCCATCCGCATACGTATCTCCGTCAAAAATGAACGTAACAGCTCCATTCTTGCTGGTCCCAAACGAAGGCAAGCTCCAACAAGACGAACCGAAACTTTCTCCAACTGTACAAGACTTCCTTCATTTCGAAAAACGGTTCCACATTTCTTTACACGACTTGACATATGACCATCACACGATTTGTGCAGGCGTCGATTTGCACGCTTTTGGGCCAAGAAGTCACGTGGTCTGAAGTCCCTACTAGTGGAGTCATTTAGACACCGCCAGATGAAGATCAGGAGCTTTTGTTTAAAAAGTTCAGTGACGCGGTAAATCGAGTTGGCAGCCAGTAGGGGCTGCATCGCGGAACATGGCGGGCTGCCATCAATGCATCGGATCGCCCGGTTTTGCATGGCTTGCAGACGCTAAAGTTGGGTCACGCGGAGGGCTGCAGAGAAGCAGCAGGCACCATATTATATCATATCCGGCATGACAATAGCCTTTACATATCTTGCGCGAGCTGCGGGAGAGGCATCGACGGGCTCACCACAAGGCGCCAATCTTCCTCGCAGCTTTGGTCACTATGGCGCTGACGTGTACATCCCAACTCAGGCGGTTGTCAAGAACGACACCAAGATACCGCGCAGACTTCACTATCGGTAGAGAGGTATCGCAGCACACGATAGAGACCTCAGGCCCGGCATGTTGCGGTGAGATAGTCATTACCTGGCTTTTGGAGGCATTTAAAATTAGGGTACGTGTAGTGATTCACACATGTACTTCGTTTCGCGTACGGAAAACGCGTCGCATCGCGAAAAAGTAACAGCTGACTTGAGCTCAATTACTACTACCACGGTACGAAGTAGTATTTTGGCCCATCGATCGCGACGATCGCGCGATAACTTTCCCGTACGTGAAAATGAAGTATGAATCGGCCTTTAAAGCCATTATTCTAACGAGCCGGAAATATAACAATTTCCTAAAATTGATCGGTTTACGTGTATCAAAGGTAACGATACTCTCTCGTTCTCAACGCTTACTAGTATTAAACAGTAGAGTCTATCAGTAGGACAATCTCTGCATAACGCTTTCTATTTTAACGACAGGCTTCACCTGGAGCGTTATTTCTCTAAAGCTCGTTAGATGTAGAACTTTGTTATACGGTGTATATAAAGTCTTTTACAGTATCACATTTTGTCATCGGGATCTCCAGACATAAAATATTATACATGTACATGTATGTAGGTATTAGTAGTTTTGGTCATCCATCACCATGGATGACTTGCAAGTACGTCTCATCAGTGGTCCCGAGGAGCATAGAAAATAACTGTAACTTTCTGCCCAAAGACTGGCACGTTTCCAACAAAGTAAAACATATTAAATGATGCCCAGACAAGACGAGAGGGCGTGATTCTTGAAGAGAGGTTAAGATGCACGTCATTTCCGCCGTGACGCGCAATTTCACATCAACTTTGGCGTAAAACTCCAAATTTCGACGTGAGCTGTAGGTCACTCGCGTTGTTTTTCGACGTGAGAGCCAAACAAAGCGAGCTGAACTTTCGCGTCACGTCGGAAATAACGTTCATCTTAACCTCTCTATTGTCTTTTGTTTTGTATCGCTGGCTGTTGGGACGCAAACACGTTAAGAGTGACAAACAGAAAGAGAGAGAGAGAGAGAGAGAGAGAGAGAGAGAGAGAGAGAGAGAGAGAGAGAGAGAGAGAGAGAGAGGGGGAGAGAGAGAGAGAGAGAGAGAGAGAGAGAGAGAGCGAGAGCGAGAACATGAATTATGTGCGGATTAGGCCAGTGTCCTTTTCTACGACAAAGAAAATGCATGTTCTCTCAAAAAGATCCAGGTCCACACACATGTACACACTTCACATAAAGAACATTCGTTTTCCTGTCGTTGGGCAATAGGCTATTACCAGTGTTGGGAAGGCGAGAGACAGGAGACGAGGCAGTACTATCGGATTAACCAATGCATTGCGATCATTCCCCGCTGCGGGGAAGATGGTTGATCGGTGTTTTGAAGTGGAGAGAGAAAAAAGTACAAGCAATTACGGTAGTGAAAACGGAAGAAGTGATATGTCATTTCAGCAAAGCACACGCACGGACACACGATATGGCACAAACACTGGAAAGCCATGAGTGCATGGAAAGCGCCGAGTACCAAAATGACACTGGCCAGATGAAACTCTTTTGAAAAAAAAAAGTTTGCACTGCAGAACAATGCTGCGTCAGCCGGCCATTGGTACAGTGGAAAGCATCAGTGGGCTGTCGACTCCAGTGTGCCATACAGCACCGTGGTGTGTGTGTGTGTGCAGATCACATGATCAGTGCAGCAACAAGGCCACAACAGCCAGTGCCAGCAGCACAATGCCGGGAACAGAGGTGAGAGCTGATTGACCGCCTGCAACAAACATACAGCACAGTAGGGAGTGAGTCGAGAGTTAACGCTTTTTGTTTTTCAATTTCGAAAGTGAGAAAAAGGCGCAAAATGGCGCTGCTCACGTTGCAACGTGAGATTTCAATGCGACAGAGGGCCAACTCACGTTGGAAAACCCCCGATTCAAAGCACGATTTTCTCAGTTTCGAAATTTAAAAAATAAACATGACGCGTAAACTCTCTATTGTATGTATGCATGATAACATAATATACAGTACGGTAGACAGCAATTGCAACGTTATGTATACACGATTACTGCACATCACACTTTTGAATGTACTAGTATATGCAAGAAAGCAGCATTAACTTTAAATCAATGATGATGTTGTACTTACTCAGACAGAACGGATTGGATGTAGTCGAGCAACTGAATCCTGCACACGACACATAGATACAAACGATAACACTCCTCAAGCCTCCGCCAAAAAAAGGTTTCGAAGGCCTGGAGCAATCTTGTTTGGGAAAGTTTGATCCAGACTGTTTTGATCACAATCTTAGCGTTGAAAATATACACACTTTAGTGGTCACTTTCCATCAAATCGTTTGTTCTTCTTTTTCCAAAAAAATATAAAGGACCACGGAACTACAAGTTACGCTATAATGTCTACCAACACCGCCTGTTACTAAACAATCAACTCATGCGATAACATTGCACGACACTGACCAACAGTACTGACGTTCTACAACTAACTGATTGTAGTACCTTTGTCCTTTTTTTTTTTTTAATTAATCCTTGGCTCTCCAACCAAGTCCATTCTTCTTTTTCCGTTTTGAGTCGGGTGTGTGAGTCGGGTGTGTGAGTCGGGTGTGTGAGTCGGGTGTGTGAGTCGGGTGTGTGAGTCGGGTGTGTGAGTCGGGTGTGTGAGTCGGGTGTGTGAGTCGGGTGTGTGAGTCGGGTGTGTGAGTCGGGTGTGTGAGTCGGGTGTGTGAGTCGGGTGTGTGAGTCGGGTGTGTGAGTCGGGTGTGTGAGTCGGGTGTGTGAGTCGGGTGTGTGAGTCGGGTGTGTGAGGCGGGTGTGTGAGTCGGGTGTGTGAGTCGGGTGTGTGAGTCGGGTGTGTGAGTCGGGTGTGTGAGTCGGGTGTGTGAGTCGGGTGTGTGAGTCGGGTGTGTGAGTCGGGTGTGTGAGTCGGGTGTGTGAGTCGGGTGTGTGAGTCGGGTGTGTGAGTCGGGTGTGTGAGTCGGGTGTGTGAGTCGGGTGTGTGAGTCGGGTGTGTGAGTCGGGTGTGTGAGTCGGGTGTGTGAGTCGGGTGTGTGAGTCGGGTGTGTGAGTCGGGTGTGTGAGTCGGGTGTGTGAGTCGGGTGTGTGAGTCGGGTGTGTGAGTCGGGTGTGTGAGTCGGGTGTGTGAGTCGGGTGTGTGAGTCGGGTGTGTGAGTCGGGTGTGTGAGTCGGGTGTGTGAGTCGGGTGTGTGAGTCGGGTGTGTGAGTCGGGTGTGTGAGTCGGGTGTGTGAGTCGGGTGTGTGAGTCGGGTGTGTGAGTCGGGTGTGTGAGTCGGGTGTGTGAGTCGGGTGTGTGAGTCGGGTGTGTGAGTCGGGTGTGTGAGTCGGGTGTGTGAGTCGGGTGTGTGAGTCGGGTGTGTGAGTCGGGTGTGTGAGTCGGGTGTGTGAGTCGGGTGTGTGAGTCGGGTGTGTGAGTCGGGTGTGTGAGTCGGGTGTGTGAGTCGGGTGTGTGAGTCGGGTGTGTGAGTCGGGTGTGTGAGTCGGGTGTGTGAGTCGGGTGTGTGAGTCGGGTGTGTGAGTCGGGTGTGTGAGTCGGGTGTGTGAGTCGGGTGTGTGAGTCGGGTGTGTGAGTCGGGTGTGTGAGTCGGGTGTGTGAGTCGGGTGTGTGAGTCGGGTGTGTGAGTCGGGTGTGTGAGTCGGGTGTGTGAGTCGGGTGTGTGAGTCGGGTGTGTGAGTCGGGTGTGTGAGTCGGGTGTGTGAGTCGGGTGTGTGAGTCGGGTGTGTGAGTCGGGTGTGTGAGTCGGGTGTGTGAGTCGGGTGTGTGATTTTCAAGTACAGTAAGTCTACAAATTTTCGGCCCATTAAAATTTCGGCCTCCCAGGGCTAAAACCCATTTCAACCGCATCAAATTTCGGCCTCCCAGGGCTAAAACCCATTTCGACCGCATCGAATTTCGGCCTCCCAAGGCTAAAACCCATTTCGGCCGCATCAAATGTTCGGCCTGTACTGCCCCCGCCGGTGTGCACTGCCACACTGAAACTTGCAAAATAAAATTTCGGCCGCAACAAATTTTCGGCCAAACATGTCCCGGTCGAAAAAAGCCGAAAATAAACATGCGCCGAATAAATATTTGTTGACTGACAGTATTAGAATCAGCAGCTGATTGACTCCTGCCCAGACCTGTGCAGCTCTGAACCATAGTCAAAGCTGGCTTTTCAATGCCCCCAGTTCCATACACATAATTATGGCATCCTCAATGTACAATTATATTTTGAAGTAAACACACACACACACACACACACACACACACGTGCGCCCGTGCGCAAACACACACACACACACACACACACACACACACAAGTATGCGCGTGTGTACACACACATACACACACACATACAAACACACACACACACTAGTAGTACACAAAACACAAACACGTACCAGGATGACTGAGGCCCGTAGTACGTTCAGGTGTTTGTCCACTCATCCACACGCACCTAGGGTCGCCCAGTTCTTCGCCGTTTGTCAAGCCATCACCATCGCTATCCGCGGTGCAAACGGTAGACCACGATTGGGATGCTGTGGTGAACGCTTGGCCAAATGAGTTTCCTGTCGAAAGTAATGTAATACAATACTCAATAGTAATACAATAGTGATCAAGTCAGGCACACAAGCAAAGACTGCTACAGTAAAACCTGTGACTAACGACCAACCCACGGGGCCAGAGAAAGCGGTCTTCAGTGGCAGGTGGTCCTTAGTTAGAGGTTTGCAACGCACAATCGTATCACTATGTGAATGTGAGACCGTCTGTGCCTGGCGAAGTGATCTTTAGTACCAGGCTGGTCGCTAGTCACGGTGGTCTTTAGTACCACAAAAACGGAAATCCGAGCCGAATTTAACGCGTGCGACACCTTCGAGTACCAATTTGGTCGCTAGTCACGGTGGTCTTTAGTACCACAAAAACGGAAATCCGAGCCGAATTTAACGCGTGCGACACCTTCGAGTACCAATTTGTTGACCCAGCCAGTCAAAGTGACTGGCCTGTACGCTGGTATGCGCTTGATACGCGCTGAAAATCTCAACATGTTGGAATTTCCATTTCGGCGTGTTTCCGTATGCATGGCGCCCCAAAGCCAGCAAAATACGCACAAACGCCTGGTTTCACGCGTACACGCCAGTTGTGAACACAGCTTAAGGTCATGATCGATTGGGAGAATCCCGGGCAAGTGCGCTCCGAGTAAGCGTGATCGTTTGACCGCAATTGCGACCAACTCCGCAGCAGGTGTAGAGGCGACGGTTTCAAATAGGACACAGGTTGCAAACCGGAACGGACTCAATATTCACTTTCTCTCTTGGTATTTTGATTAGAAAACATATGTCACAGTGAGACTACGATGTGTTATACTCCGAGCCAAAATTTCATGGCTCTGCGATGACCAGAAGCGCCATACCAAGCAGGTGAGTTTTTGACGTGTTGCTTCGCACTGCGACTTGAGTGTAACGACTTTCGAAAAATCAATTTCTTGTCGCAGGTAAACAGCGGCTCGCCTCTCGCCAATAAAGAACCGCATACCAATCAAAACTAATGGAAGCACACACAAGGCTTATTGTTACTCTGTACTGGCCGTCGTGGAGCGATAGCAATTACCTACTTTCAGACCCAGAGTGAATTTGACGTGCACTCTAAAACGTGTCCGCTTTGGAGCCATCTCTGATTCGAACTTTTTTGAAGCGAAAAATTGGGCAACTTGGAGGCAATGGGTCAACACAAAGGAGTGGCTCAGTTCGATTGACTCTGGCCCCGAAGCAAACTTCAACATGCCAGTTTCCTTCCACAAACATATTTCGAGTGAAAAATCAACGCTGATGATCGGTTTGGGTCTTTACAAATTTGGCTGTCAAAGCCTTACAGTATCGAACCGTCTACTCTACTTGGAGTGGAATCTGACCACACTGGGAGTGGCTGGAGTGGAACTGGACTTTGCCGTTTTTGGACAGCTTTCACAGAATCTTTGTACGATATGCGTACATTTTGCATACTACACCCGTGTTTTGTTCGATCGGGCCAGTGTTGCTCGGACTACACTGCCTGCTCGCACTCAATCCAGATTCGCCAATCAATGACACCCTAAGCCTGATTATTTTCTTGAAGGTGATTCCATTCCTGTCTACAAGAACAATAATTGGCAACACAATCTTTGTGTATAATGGCAAACATGCCTTTTAACATGCTTTTGTTCATTTTAAGAAGATATCTTTCAAGTTCCTGTACATGGTCGCTAGGACTATCAGGGGGCGGAGGAAGCAGTTTAATATTGGTGCGGCAAAATTGTGAGAGGGGGATCCGGGGGTCCTCCCCCGTGATTTTTTTGTAAAATTGGGCCTAAAAGGCCATATTTTAATGCTACAGAATAATATGAGAAATAAGAATATGCATGCTGATGATACACCGCATTGTCGATGTAAAACATGGTACCTGTGCAAGAGTCGACAAGCCATCAACAAGGTTGAAATAAAAAAATAAATAAATAAATTCGAAAATTATTGGTCCTGCGACCGCCGGGCCTTCCGGACCGGTTCCTACGCCCATGACTATGTGCGACGCAAAGGGAGGAAAGTCTGATGGCGCCCAGAATTGCGGAAATGCTTGCTTTGTTCCCAATCTTTTCGCAATGTGGGCAAGCTCCACTGCAGCCACTTCATTACATGGACAACCTTACACATACCATCTTCAATCCAAGTGGTCCAAATTACAATAAATATCTCAGATATCAGATTGAGATAATTATTGTAATTTGCAGCAAAGAGACCACTTGGATTGAAGATGGAGTGTGTAACACAATCTTTGTGCAAATAATGGCCACCGTGCTTTTGTTCATCAAGTATCTCTTGTCAAGTACATAACTTATGGTCGCCAAGACGTTGGAAGACGCAAGTGGAGGAAAGTCTGATGATACCCAGAATTCGAAACTCGGATGTTGAGCCAATATTAAAATGTAGAAAGGAAAGGGACAAAATTAATGGATACGAGACTACCAGAGTAAGAGTAAGAGCAAGAGTAACTGATTGTCCACCACTGTAACTAGACATAAAGTCAGTCAGAAAGTGCAACACTACAAAAAAAAACTGGGCTTTGGATCTGTTTCTCCATACATTTTGTCATGGCATACCTGGCCTAATTTTGTAAAACCTGGCTGAATTTCTATTTCCCTGTTCTTGGACTTTTCTGCCCTCAAATGTGTCAAGGAGTAATTGCACGGGTCACACAATGCAGGATGTACTGTGGTTTTCACGATACAGTCAGACCTCGCTTAACCGCACCCATCCATCAAAATTTTGATAATAATAATAATAATAATAAATGTGGAAAGGAAAAGGACATATGGATACGAGTTAAGAGTATGTATATATCCTTTTCCTTTCCACATTTATTTATGGCTCAACATCCGAGTTTCAAATAATAATAATAATCCGTTTTCCACAAAAATAACCGGCTAGGCGAGGGAAGCGGATAACCGAACACTGGTTATGTTGGATGCATCACGTATGCTGTAAATCTGAAACCAGCTATTTTCTTCCCGATGGCGAGGGATCCGGATAAAAGAGGACCGGATAAGCGTGGTCTGACTGTATCGATAACTATGATTGGGAGAAACCAAAAAGTTAGGGTGCCAGTTTCCAATGAATGGACTGTAGGCACACAACTACCCAGGATCGCCGAAATGTTTGCTTGGTTCCTTACCACCGCCAGATGGGGCACCGTTGCACTGTGCGACATGTCCAATAGACTGACAGGTACTACAGGAACATACCAACACAGTCATGCACAAATACAGTTTATTTAAATTAGTTTACACATCAAAATGATGATTGAGCCTTGTTGCACAGTTCACACATTCATTTGTTCAGTCTCTTCATCAGTCTCTGTTACACATATTCCTTGTCACCGTCTCACCTCACTTTATGCGTTATTCATGTTTTACACCATTATGTGGGTCGATCATGTTTTTGTTTGTTTTTGTTTTGTTTGTTTGTGTGTGTGTGTGTGTATGCGTGTGTATGTGTGTACGTGTGTGTGTGTGTGTGTGTGTGTGTGTGTGTGCATGCGTGTGTGCTGACATGGAGACCCCCTCGACAGGCTTTCCAGCCTGTGGGGAATTCAGAAACAAAAACATTACAAACGAGAGATCTTAAAAGCTCAAGGCCCTACGCCATGCTTTTTTGCCTAGCTAATCATGCATGTTATTAGAACTGATCGGCTACATCAGTGTATTGCAAAACGGCTGAGAGTCAGCCACAGCTGAAAGTCGGTTGCAGGACATTTTTCAATCATTTTCATGGTAATAGAGACGTCAACAAGAGCTTTTTCGGCTGAATCAAGCTCAGTGCGACCGCGGCCTTACAGGCAAGACAAGAGCAATAGATCTACGCGCAGTAGTTCGATATCGATGTGATGCATCCACGGGTGCTCGTATGAGTCGTCGTGCGTTCTGGTTTTCCCTTTGGTTGTTTTTTGATGCAGTTATTTTCAAGGTCTAGTAGTTTGTTGGTGTCAAATAACAGGAGTTAGCTGGTGCATCCTTTTTTGATGCGTGATGGTAGCCACGTCGCCGAAGATATCGCGTGTTTGCTTGATGAAAACGGCCCGTCGTCCCTTGTTGCAAACTGGGCAGTGGGAAGCTCACACGGCAGAGTCGTACCACGAATGTATTCAACCATTTGAAGACTCGCCGTAAGCTCCAGTATCGTGAAGTTGTAGGTGGAAAGCAGGGTGAAGATGCGAGCACAATGGCAGCGGGAACGACGCTAGTGTTGATATTCTTCCGCAGCGACGAAAAAAATTAATAATACTAGCCACAGCACTACAGTAGTACTAAACACAGTTCTAGACAAGATGTCATAGCACTTCCCAGATACGACTATTGTCTCCTCGTCGATTGTTTAAGGTTAAATTCTTCCCAGCTGTGTTATTCCATTAGTCAGCATTCGTGACAGACATGTACATATACGGGCATATACTAGTACCAGGGATGAATTTATCTGGTATCGAATCGCAGTTTGCTACGCAAAATCGATCTACTGCTACTCAAAAATCACAGTGACACGCAGAAAACTGCCATACATACATGTACAGGCTATCCATGCTTTTTGTAGCTTACGCCACAATTGAGATTTTGCATAGCAAAAACTGCTACTGTAAATATCCAAATTTTCAGCAGCTATTTAATTTCGGCTATATTCGGCACCGACCCAAAACGCCTAAATTAAAACGCCGATGAAATGTTTCACAGCATCTGTCGCACTATACCATGCCCTCTACCCCACGCCGAAAATAGATCGCCGCCGAAATGTCAAAAATCGTGAAGTGCCGAAATTTTGCAGCGCCGAAATTTTGTATATTTACAGTATGCAAAAACAGGACAGTGAATACATCCCTGCTAGTGCTGTATGTTACTGTACACACTACTAGTACACAAGGCATGCATGCACTACATGTACTAGTAGTAGTATCATGTCCCCCCCCCCCCCCCCCCCCCCCCGGAGACCAGTATCATTTTGATACATCATACATATCCAGCATACTCGTTTTATGATAACTCGATCGTTTATTATGGTACTCAATAAGAAGAAAATTAATTTAATGGATGATCCTTTCTCGCCTAGTTCAAAATACAGTGCTAATAGGTTCTAGGGATGAAACGATCATCCATTTCCTCCCCATTTCCTCTTATTGAGTACTATACCGTTTATTAGAAAGGATCGAGTTATCATAAAACAAGTGACCTGGATATGTATGACAAATCAAAATGATACTGGTCTCGGGAACATGATAATACATGTATGAATGACTTGTGTAGGCAGTAAGTTACATACAGTATTCTTGTGCATGTACAATCATGTACATGCATGTCCAGCTGACTAATGTAATACATAACACATCTGGGGGGGGGGGAAGTACTGTGACATCTCGTCTTGTATTACTGTGACACAGTTCTAGACTCCCAGTGACAATCAAATCTCCCACAGCCAGTTTATTCTAGTACTGGGGGTTACACACCAGATCTCAAAAGTGCCAGGGTGACTAGAAAAAGGTGTGAATTCGTCACCTTGGATGCTGGGGTTAACTATGCAGACAGTGCAACTAACTACTTAGCTGGTACCATGCACATGAACAATGCACCTGTACGTGCATACTAGTACTCAATAACAGCATAATAAGGAGTAGCAATCATAGAGATAACAGTAAGTTCCGCCTACAGTAATAACCACTTTGCTTTCCTGCCTTCCCTCCCCTCTCCCTGTTTGTGCCACACTACAAGGCAAAAAGCCATGCACATCATTCTACACGTCATGGATGCATCATGCAAGTCATCCTGACCTGACGCGAAGAGGTACACTGTACTAAGCCTAAGGTCAATGAGGGCATGTACACACCTACACAACTACACAGTCATCTCAACTACATGTATCCGGAACTGAAGGAGTTGCTGGTACACTGACACTGTATACCAGGCCTAAAGGGGCTATAACATTTCGACCTCTCAGTCTCACGGGTTTATCCGGACTCCTCATAGCTTTTCAGAATCTTGAAGGACGCTTCACGCAGCTTCATTGCACTTGAATAGTTTTCAGGCAACCTGCCTACACTCAAGAGAGCACTGCATCCCACACAAATCCATTAGAAGTATCGTTTCAACGTTTCTGACCCTCATCCTGATGCTGGTTCTAATAATTATGGATTTGCGTGAGATGCAGTGCTCTCTTGAGTGTAGGCAGGTTGCCTGCAAACTATCCTTATAGCTTAGTGATAGAACCCTATATTATGGATAATAAAAGGGGGTATTATGGAAAGCCAAACAATTTTAACCACTCTGGTCAAAGTGGAATAATCATTGCTATGAGCGGTGACAGCCCTGCAGCAGTTGGTTGCTTGGACTTGAGCTCGCCAGTCAGTGAAGGTCGAAGCCCAGTCTTCGGAGTCCACACAAGGCAGGGAAGCCATCATGAGTGCAGCACTGATAGGCAGTAGCAGGAGAGTGCGCTTATACTAAAGTTACAGTTGTACCCGGATATCATGTATGATGTAGATCTACATGTAGGCACAGGCGCTTTTATGCGCGTGTCACTACGGCCCGTACGGGTATTGATCTACCGGTCCGGCCGATCACATTATTGTAGGATTGTACATTGCACTGTATCCAGAAAAATCATTATTTTTCTTACCTATTCTCAACGCCAAACGGCGCGGGCACAAGCGAATCCATGTTCCCCGTACCTCCAGTGACAGTTCCTAGATTCGGTATGTTCGGAACGAAGTTTGGAAACGCAAGAGTAGATGGGAGCAGAGCCAACGCTACAACCATGACCGCCGAAGACCACACCATCATGTCAGTTGGTTATTCAGGAGATAGGCAAGAGAGGTCAGAGAGACGTTGAGAGATACAAGAGGCGACTCAATTTGATCAAGAGCGAAGAAATAACGTCTCTTCGAGATAAATGTTGGTCAGACTGATAGTGATAGTTCGTTGGCGCAACTACTTCACATCTACCGGCTACATTGACATTGTACGTGTTCCCTAGACCCTGCCTGCCTGGCCTGCCTGGCCTGCGGCAATCCGATCCTCACAACACGCCACCACGCACACACTTGACACTGAACACTGCACACTGTACTCTTCCCGCTGCGCGCACTCTTCTACTGTCTCTACCTCTGAGTACCTACCGCGCATTGGCATTGCACACTTCACTGTTCAGCCACATGTCGCACATAGCACACAATCATAATGCGTATCATCATGATCATGTCAATCACGCACTTGTCTGGTTGCGGACCGCCTGAACGTTTCTTTACGTTTTCAGTTTCAATGGCACGACCGGACGCGTACCAAGTGACAAGACAAAGTGCTTGCGAGAATTATTTTGGTTCACAAGAAATCCAACCCTCGACAAGAAGGAGAACAGTTAGTGGGTACTAACACTTGATACACAGACTAGACAGTGCAGTCTACGTGACGAGTACGTCTGCATGCACCATGGCACGTGCACTGCATGCATGCATGTGAAAGCTTGTTATTACTTTCAGTACAATCATGTCACTGGTCGCAAGCGCACTCGCGCAGTCGCTCAGAGCCGCAGACTAGCGCACCGGTTTTACGTAACGACTTACGTAGCTGCAACAATACAATCATGTGACGTCACTTGACTCTTGAGCCCAATCTGACGCTATCAACAAGATCTTCACGCTACAGACTAGTACAAGGTGGGGCGCTCTCGCGAGACGCAGAGCGCTCTGGCGGTACTTAATTAAAGGGGAAGTCCGGTGAACAATTTTTAAAAATAATTTCAGGGTCGGTAGAGTTTCGGGCGCTGAGTCGAATGGTGTTGGTCCCACGTGCCTCCGACAAAGTGTTCTCGAGATATTTCCGTTTGAAAAACTGAGTTTCGGGGCTGCGCCATGACGTCATGCGGCCGCGCCACACCCTCCGCAACGTCATAGCGTGCAGCTACATGTAGGTGAAAAGAAGTGCGTGAATTCCGTGAAAGCAATAGTGTCAGTAATAATAATAATAATATTCGCGGGATCCGCGTCGGCATCGCTTGAAACACACAAACTAGCCTTCGCATCCGCAGGCCACCACTATATAGTGGCGAATGCAGACCTCACAAGTGAGTCAGGGGAGAGGAGGTTAGTCTCTCAACCAAACGGCCCATAAGTGCATAACCCTGTAAACTGCATCCTTGTTATTCTCACTCCGAGCTGTGAAGTGTGAGTACCCAGTTGACCGTGGGTGTCGGCGCAGTTCAACACGCGTAAAAAGTCTTCTTTTTTTTACACGCTCCCTGCTACCAGCGCGGGTCTTGAACTCGGGACCTCATGATTCGCAGGCAGGCCTGCAAACCAATCGGCCATATGCGTTGGTGTATAGTGTCAGTGCTATTTCAAATGATTTGGCGATCCATAGTAGGTGGTGCAAACGACCCCGAAGACGTAACTCCTTGTGAGAGTGAGGATGCAGCCATGGCTGACCTTCATGAGTTCGGTATTCAGCTGAAGAAATGGCCGCGCGGGCCGGTCAAGAGTGAGCGCTACTGAGTTTCCGACTGATGAAGAAGCAGCAGCTATTGCAGACGAGGCTGATATAATTATCAGGTCGCTGGAGAGCAGAGTCGCTAAAATGGAGAAGAGTGATGCGAGTGGTCTAAATGCTGTTCCACACTGATTCGCTTAGACTCCAATAGCCTGCCACATGGTGATGTTTTGGTGCGAACTTGGCATATTTCGGACTACTCAATTTGAGAACAGTGCAGGCTCTTTGAACCACGGGCACGACTCTTCGCCCGCAACGCTACGCGATCTGAAAGTTCTAGGTCCGGGAGCTGTTCGCTGTTTTGTCACTTGTCACGGTTGTGCACTCATCGCTGTAGCATAATAATGAGACTGGAGCGGAAAACTAAAATTTTCTTTCTCAAAGCAAAACCACCAGCACCGGCAAGGAGAAACGCACGTTCTCTGACTACATGACTGTCGATTTATTTGATACGAGTGTTGGCTGTTGTAGACTTGTACTATACAGTAATGACAAGTCCGTGTGTTGACTAGTTTTCTGAGTCTTGTGACTCGAGTCTTGTTGTAGCTACCCCAGCACGGAAGTGCGGGAGTAGTTCCATGTGTGATGAGTTTTGTTGACTACTGTAAAAGCCATTATTCTGACATGTCACAAGACTGTAGGCACGGAGATGACCAATCGCATTGCACCTAGCAGTGCCTAGATGAGGCGATCAAAGCATGCTACAAGAAGTAGAACTCCATATTTAGTGGAGCGGGCTTTGATTTTCCCATCAAAGCCCGCCCAGCGGGCTTTCCAGGCGGGCTTTGATTTTACGATCAAAGCCCGCTCGAGCGCTCCACTAGGGCTTTGATTCACTATTCTGACATGTCACATGACAATCGACATGGCAACAGCGAATCCTAGCGCGACTTGCCGTGCTTTGAATCAGCCACTGAAGACCTGTGAGCGCTTGCAGGTCTCCGATTTTCCAATCGGAGCACGCCCAGGCGTGCTCCGATTGAATCGGAGCACGCCTAGGCGTGCTCCGATTCAGCCATCAGAGGCCGCTTTTTTTTTTTCAAACTGCAATGTTCACCTGCACGTACGTACCTGTAGGCTGTAGGCTGTAGTCACTGCGAAGAAGAGAAGCTGAACTGACCTGGTTTTTAGCTGACTAGACCGCCCTTGTTTTATCTCTGTGTTGTGACTGTGTACATTAGTCATTATGTAACATGTCTGAAGTACTAAACTGGCGACTAGTTGTGTTCCTTGTCTGGTCTAGTGTGCGTGCCTTGAGTACTACTAGGTATGTGTGAAGTACTACATGTAGTAGTACTAGTAGTACGAAGTAGTTCGTGCAATGCATGTCAGAAAATGGTATCAAAGCATTCGTACTCGGACTCAAGTGCTAGAATCGGAGCCCTCCGCGCTAGCGCGCGTCGGGCTCCGATTCCGCACTTTCGTCCTCGTACTCATGCTCGATTCCATACATCAAGCTCGCTTTTTTTTTACTCGACTCGGGCTCGAGAAGGCTGAGAGTCGTGCTTTCAAGCGAAATAGGAAGATCGAAGTGCGTGTTCATGTCAGAAATCCAATCAAAACAGTCGTGTTCATGCTCTATCAGCCAATCACAGCCCTTCGCGAAGTATTTACAAGTTCGATATGAGTTTCAAGCGTGGGTGCATGTCAGAAATGCAATAAAAACACTCGTACTCGTGCTCGATCAGCCTACATCACAGCCCTTCGCGCTTCGCGCGGCGGGCTGTGATTATCTGCGATCTCACACTCGTACTCTTGCTTGATACTTCTGACATGTCACAAGACTGTAGGCACGGAGATGACCAATCGCATTGCACCTAGCAGGGCCTAGATGAGGCGATCAAAGCATGCTACAAGAAGTAGAACTTCATATTTAGTGGAGCGGGCTTTGATTTTCCCATCAAAGCCCGCCCAGGCGGGCTTTGATTTTACGATCAAAGCCCGCTCCACTAGGGCTTTGATTTACTGATCAAGCTCGCTTTTTTTTTACTCGACTCGTGCTCGAGGAGGTTGAAAGTCGTGCTTTCAAGCGCGATAGGAAGCTCGAAGTGCGTGTTCTTGTCAGAAATCCAATCAAAACAGTCGTGTTCATGTTCTATCAGCCAATCGCAGCCCTTCGCGAAGTATTTACAAGTCCGATGTATGGAATCAAGCAAGAGTACGAGTGTGAGATCGCCTAATCACAGCCCGCCGCGCGAAGCGCGAAGGGCTGTGATGTAGGCTGATCGAACATGAGTACGAGTGTTTTGATTGCATTTCTGACATGCACCCGCGCTTGAAACTCATATCGCATTATCGGACTTGTAAATACTTCGCGAAGGGCTGTGATTGGCTGATAGAACGTGAACACGACTGTTTTGATTGGATTTCTGACCAGAACACGCACTTCGATCTTCCTATCGCGCTTGAAAGCACGACTGTCAACCTTCTCGAGCCGGAGTCAAGTAAAAAAAAAGCGAGCTTGATCAGTGAATCAAAGCCCTAGTGGAGCGGGCTTTGATCGTAAAATCAAAGCCCGCCTGGGCGGGCTTTGATGGGAAAATCAAAGCCCGCTCCACTAAATATGGAGTTCTACTTCTTGTAGCATGCTTTGATGGCCTCATCTAGGCCCTGCTAGGTGCAATGCGATTGGTCATCTCCGTGCCTACAGTCTTGTGACATGTCAGAAGTATGGAATCAAGCAAGAGTACGAGTGTGAGATCGCCTAATCACAGCCCGCCGCGCGAACTTCTGACATGTCACAAGACTGTAGGCACGGAGATGACCACGAGGCGCATATAACGATTTCCCAAAATTGACTAGTTTACGTGTACCAAAGGTAACGATTCTCACTCATTCTCAACGCTCAATAGGACAGTACAATGTATATGTATCGATGTCTGTATAACGATTTCTATTTTAACGACAGATTTCTCCTCGTAAACTCGTTAGAGTTAGCACTTCGTTATAATAATTATACATGTATGGCTTTTACAGTACACAACAGCTAGCATGCACGCAAGTCTCGGATGCCTTCCACAGCATTGTACATGATCCGTCCCGTCCGGCGCAGCTCCAGATTCCCATTGGTCCACAGCCGCAAGGCTCAATGCTGACCTTCCAGTCAACCACCCCAGATGAGGTCAAGCCCCTCCTGGAACGGATAAACCCCTGCAAAGCCACAGGCAGTGATGGGATTCCTGGGTGTCTGCTACGTGCTTGCGCTGACCTGTTGGCTCCATCGCTTTCAGTGCTCTTCAGCTCATCGCTGAGGCATGGTGAAGTCCCTCTGGCTTTCGAACATGCTGTAATAAGCCCTCTCTTCAAAGCTGGCGATCCTTCGGTAGCTGCAAATTATCGTCCTGTGTCGCTCCTGCCGATCGTATCCAAACTACTCGAGAAGATAGTCCAGAAGCAACTTGTTGCACATCTGGAGCGATCATGTGCCATACCACCGACTCAGT